GGGGGGTGGCTTTGTCTAACGCCGGTGGGTCTGCGTGGGGACGGATGGAGATGCTGGGAGGCAGAAATCCCCATAAAAACGGTCCAGAGAGCCGGGTTTTTCTTTCCTCTTGCTTTAAACCGCAGTGGGGAAACGACGGGACTGTCTTCGGTCTTCCAAGTTACATCTCGGGTGTCGTGGAGAAGGTGTGTCGAAGCCATCGAAGCGGGTTGCCGTGTGACAGCCCGCGGCGGGGGGGGCGGGCACGGGGTCAGTTCATATTGGCTTTGTACCCTCTGACAGAACGGCTGCAGCGGTGAAAGGTAGGCCCCGTTCCGCAGGCTGCGCAGAAACACATCAGGTATCCTGAAGATGCCTCCTGGTGCTGTTGAAGGCATCAGCCTTCAAAAGCTGTTTGAAGGTAGCTTTTGGAACAGGCTTCATTGCAATAGCTTTATCGTTGTCTGTAAAGGATGAGAGAGAGAGGTATAAGCATCAGGTAATTCTGAAACGCTTGTGGATGCGGTAGGAAACGTGAAGCCTAGGCAAGGATGCTGGCTTGGCTTGTCTGAGCGTGTTGATCATCTACAGAAGGGATCTTTGATTTTTGCAGAGATAAGAACCCAGATGTTCTGTCACTGCAGTCGTGGCTTGGGCTGTGACACTAAAGTCTTTCTGGATTTTTTTTGAGCATGACAACATCAAACGCTAAATGGGGAAAAAAAAAAAACCCTCAAAACTCTCCTACAAAGATCTGTTTGCGTTTGTAGACTTCTGAGGAACTGGAAGGTTCTCAGAGGAGGATGCAGGGCAAATTAATAAAAAATGCTGCAAATGCCTGTTTCAGATGGTCCTGGTACAATGAGTTCGTTAGTGCCCAGACTGTCATTCCCACCTCCTGAGGAAGGGGAAAGGGACTTGGTTGAAGTAGAGCCAGGGTGCATTTCTAAAGAAAACAAACTTATTTACTTTAATATAATGAGCTGAAAAGTCTCAGGGAGCTGTTGTTTCGTAGCATGTGTATACTGGATGGAAAACAAGTCCCTCTTCTTGGAATACCAAGCGGCACCGTTGTGGGGGTTGGAAGCGTGCTTCCTCTTAGCCTGCTGCTTGCTTGGGTAGATCAGCCTGGCCCATCTCTTGTGTTCTTAATCTGCTGTGAAAGTGGAGGTGGGATGCTAGGTAAGGTGTACCTTTGATTTTGAGCCCACATGGCAATTAAGGTATTTTGCTGGGTAATAAGTCTTCTTTCTGAGCTGTTAGTTTCTTTTTCTTGCTGTCACTGTGTATTGGCCAACAACTATGAAATTTTCTTTCTTCCCTGTGGGAATTTTCCCATGTTCCTCCCCATGCCCCATCATAGCCTCTCATAAATTTTATTTACTTTTTTGTGGAATCTCTTCTTTCTCTTCCCACCTTATTTTATCAATTTTTTATAATTTTGAGGGGGGGGGGTCGGTGGTGTTTGGTGGTTTTTTTTGTTTGTTTTTTTTTTTCTTGTCATCTCTGCAGCATAGAGCTGACAGTAGCACATAAAAACCTTCTTGGGCTTATGCTCAGGTTTGGACTTGCTAGTGTAGTTACATCTATCAGTGGTATAAAAAACTGCTCCCTTGCTGCTAGTTAGTAGTTTTTTTTCTTAAACTGGCAGAATGTTGCAGGTAAAAGCTCTACCTGTGTAAGGTCTGTGATTTTAGTGTCGTATGTGTACAAGAAGACATTTTTACTTATTTATACTGACATTGCAAATGCACATTGCACCCCAGGATGGTTTGGATCAGGCAGGAATACAATTTAATCACGAGCTAAGGAGTCACAAATCTTTCGTTTCATGGTTGAAACTTTCAAACATGTAAATGTTTAATTTTTTCAGTGCACTTTGAATTTGAAATACAGGGAAGAATTACCGTTGTTTTAAATCTTAGATGTTTTGAAGAGGGAAAGGGAGTCTGTAGAAGAAAGGCAAGGAAGAATGTGGAAGGTAAACTGCATTTTATAGGAGCCAAGTTTGACATTCCTGTGAAGGGATTTGTGAACTGACACATGAGGAACAAAACCTACTTCAGGGAGGAGTGCTGAGAATAAATACTCTGGGAAATCTGCAGTGCTGTAACTAAGGAGTGGAGTTATATGCATGAAGAACATTTGCTTAATGGATTTGCAGTTTGTGGCACTGAAAATGGTGTGAGGTAGAACAATGGTTATGGCTGATAAAGATGCAGCCTGAATTACGTAAGGATGATAAATGGGTAACTTCTCTGATCTCAATGTTTCATTTTCTCATTCTTATGAAAAAAACAAACCCCTGGCCTTGAGGTTCTCCCCCCTGCCTCCTGTCAAAGGAAGTAATAGTGAAACAACTTCACGTGTGGCTGAGGCGGCTTTTTCTAGTGGAAGATACTCATTTTGCCCTAATGACTCAAAGAGCTTCGTAAAGTTATCAAATATGAATAGTATAAACTCAGCCTTCACTTCTACAGAAAAATAGGCTTTGCAGGCAGTTTTAACTTTATTTTTGGTGGTGGTGAACTTAGAGGCTTCAAATTCCTTTCCAAAACAATAAGTAAGAAGTATTAGCTGAGAGTGGGTTGGAGGGGAGCCTGGAGAGGCAAGGTGTGGAGTATTGTGGAGAGCAGGCTGAGAGTGAGGCTCAGTGCTGGTTAAGAGATTAAGGAGAGGTATATTGTAATAGTAAGAAAGAAGGGCCTTACTGGTTCTGTATTTTTCCTATTACACTTCATGCTGGGCATCCAGCCATTTCCGAATCCCCTCTCAAGCTTGGACTTTGGATTGCGATCAGAACATAAGTTTCAACATACCTTGAAGACTACAAAATAAAGTACTATTGTGCTTGACACGCGGGAACAGAAGGAGGAGGACTGGCTACAGTAGTTTCAGATAGGTCTGGAGTGGAGTGCTAGTGCATGGCTTGTGGATTTAAGTGAAGCTTGAGACTTGAGTGCATTACTTCAGCTGTGTTAAGAAAAGGGTCTCTGATTTGCTGCAGCTTTGCCAAAACACACCCAACTAGTTCTTTCCTTCATTGTTATGATTTCTTTTATGCAGGTAATTGAACAAAACAGATGCAAACAACTTTGTACTCGAAGCTCTATAAGCTCTTTGTCAGCTCCGAAGTGGCCAAGTTAGGGTTATCTTGGCATGTTCAACTCCTTGCTGCATTGCTTTCATCACTACCTGGGATTTTCAAGTGGTGCATAACTTCTGTATTACTGAAGCTTTCTACAGAAAGCTTCTGGTACTGTACTACTGAAAGGGTAGAACTGAAATCAGTTGCTTGCTGAACTCTGACAGTGACTGCATGATGCTTATCTGCTGTGTTGTTCTGAAGAAGCAGATGCTTACACCTATTTTATAGGTAAGAGTGCATATGTGTTGGAAACCCATATGGAAAGAAAAATGTGTACCAGTGGTGACTGCTTGACTACTTGACTCTTCTGGTTACCCATTCTCCTTCTTGGGGCAGGTGAAAACACAATGTGCACCAGGGATTTGGTGATATGAGGTGGGAGTAGATGGTTGAAACAAAGCTTGGCAATGGATTATTAGTGTACTGTTATGTGTTTGGTAAAGGTCAGAGACATTTGTTTGGACCAGGAGATAAACAGAACTTTCAGTGTTAATTGCAGCAGTATTAGTAGGGTGCTTGTGCTTAAATAGATGTAAGGACTGACCTCAAACATTTTTAGCAAGGTGCTCAAACTGTAGGAGCTTTCTGGTGTTTCTCATAAGGACAAAAGCTAGAGTGTATCTGTTATGATAATGTTAATAAAAAAAAAAAAAAAAAAAGAGGCACATACCAGATTTCAAGTCTACCTTATTTCAATGAAGCATTAATCAAATTTAGAAAAGAAAACAAGTTTAGAGAGTTAGTAATTGCAAAATTAGAAGGTTATAGAAAGGTAAAGCCAACCAGACATGCTCTCAGCAGATGCACGTATGTAACACTTGAAGTTCTTTTATAAATGGGATTTGAGGTCTCTGAGTTGTGTTGCAGTTGAAGCTGATGGAATGACTCAACAGCATTTCAGTCTTTGAATAATGTGTTTCAGAACAGAAGTCTAAAATTAGTGAGGAATGAGTTAAAGCCTTTATAGTCTTACAGGCTGCTCAGGGCAACTGCTTCTCTGAGACTGCTCTTATTCCCTTTGTAATAGTGGATTGCAATTTTCTTATTTCGTCTTGTGACCTTCAAGGCCACCATGTTCAGTTGCATGTATTTTTAATGGCAGGTTCATCACCAAGTCTTCAAAACTGTTAAAATGCTTTTAATAGACACTTATTTAAAAATGTATGGCACACTCGTGTTCTAAAACTAGGTGTCAGAGTGTATAGTGGCCATTGCACAAAAGTAGCCTAACTTCCATTTCAAGGAAGTAACTAGATGGTAGTGGGACTTGCTAGTGACGAAACGGAGAAGGGCGTTACTGAGTGTTGAGGGATTTTTGAATACTTCTTTGTTAGAAATCATGCAGAGAACTAGATAGCAGGATTAAACTGACTCAGGATCGAGGAGAAAACCTTTACTGATTGAAAAAAACAGGCTGCCTCAAATCTTGAAGTTTTCTTCCCCAAGTCTGAGTGAAACCATATAAATCTTTCCAGTACTCCTGTACTGTTCACTAGCCATCCTTAGTCACCCCTCCTGTTATTGGTAACTCTTGCAGTCGATTAAGGACATGAGACCTAACTTCCTGATTTAAGTATGTGGTTGACAGTTCTCAGCAATGTGATATAACTTTCTGCCTTAAGTCTTTTCTTGTTAACTCCCTCTGGCATTGTGCAGGGTCAGACAGCAAGGAGTGTCTCACACACTCTTCTGAGATTCATGATTCTCTCTGGTAATGCTTTCATGCTGGATCAGGTAGGAGAATAATACTAATTAACAGCATCTTAGTATGCTTGGACTTGTGGTATCAAGTGGATTGGCACATTGTTGGTGAGTAGAACTAATTAGTGGAGCCTAGTTGTTTGTGTCCTGTTTGTCTTTACCCTTGCTGCTTTGTGACTTCTAATGTCCAACAAGGCAAAGCAATGCAAGATGGCTGGGGGCTGCTGATGAGCTGAGTGGGGTGCCTGAGAGGAGGCACAAGTTGGGCCTTGCCCCAGTAGCATCTTCTTATTTGTCTCTCCACACTATCCTCATTGGTATACAAATGTAGCCCTATTTGGAAAATCTGCTCTTCTGCTGGGTCTGTTCTCCAGCCAGATGTAATGATTCTTACAATAGGTGACCAGAAGTGGGATGGTTGTGTAAGATGAAGCTGAGAAAGGGCAACTGGCATTGAGATGGGTTATTCAACTAATAACTGCAACCTTTAATGTTTCATCTACAACAAATGGTCTGCACTTTACTGTGCTATATACAGAAGTGAAACTTCTGTAAAATTCCCCTTGACATGGTAGAGGAGTGGTCAGGTGGGTAAGGTGTCACAGCCAGAACCGTCTCAACTATAGGAGTTTGTTTTAAGTATTTCAGGCAAATAACTTTTTCTTAGTAGGAAGGGAGGTGGGTGAGTCTGGAATGCTGCACTGAGTTTTGAAAATACCCACTTGATGTAATGCAACCATTTCTTTTGACGTAGCTTCTCGGTAGTGAATCTAATGCAGCCAGGAGGGGAAAATAAAGCTTTTAAGTCTTCAGTGGGAGGTCTTGTTGCAGGTAGGTAATCTTGTGGATCTTAAAAAGGTAGCTGTGACATGACAGCTTTAGCTTTCTGGTTAGGAAAACCCATTTCTTTTTTCTTCTTCCTCTGCTTTCCTTCTGAATTAAACTTAGTTTCACTTTTTCTCGGAGGTAGGAGTGCAAAGTGAGCTAAAAGCCATGACTTGCCAAGGGCATATAGCAGTGTTGGGATGCACAGAGTAAGAACTATTCCAATAAAAATAGCACAGACCAGTGAAAAGGTGACTTGTTTTTGTGGAAGGAGGGTTGGTTTTGGGTTTTGTTTTGTTTTGGTGTGGGGGTTTTTGCTTTTGTAGGGTTTTTTTTTGTTTGTGGTTTTTTTTTTTTTTGTGTTTTTTTTTTTTTTTTTTTTTTTTTTTGGGGGGGGGGGGGGGGTAGGTGGTTTATCATACAGATTGAGTGCTTTTGAGTTCGGTTTGTGTTTTTTTTTTTTTTTTTTTCTTTTTTTTTTTTTTCTCTCTCTCTCTCCTGGTAGTAGGTGGTTTATCATACAGATTGAGTGCTTTTGAGTTCTAATGTAATAGAAAAATTCTTTGGTTCCATGCTCCCAAAAGCGTATTTCAATTGTAGACTCGTAGAATGGTTTGGGTTGGAAGGGGCCTTAAAGATCATCTGGTTCCAACCTTCCCTGCCATGGAAAGGGAGACCTTCTACTAGACCAAGTTGCTCCAAGTCCCGTGCAGCCTTGCCATAAACACTGCCAGGGATGGGGCATCTGCAGCCTCTATTCCATTGTCTCCCCAATGTTTAATGTAATTTATATTAATGTAGATAATATTATATACCTGAATCTTTTTTTTTTATTTTGTTGACATATCCAGAGTAATTGTGCTATGGACTCAGATTTAAATGTAATCGAATGTCTCTTCATGGTATTCACATACTGTCTCCATCTGCAGCTGAAATTTTCCCACTGACAAATAGGGGACCAGCTGTTCCTGAGTTGTATGTTAGAACTTCAGCAACTTCAAGATGATATGTGTATAACCTGTCTGGGGTTTTTTTGCATGGCATCCACATCCCACCTCACTGTGTGGAATGAGTATAGGGCCTTAAATAGTAAAGATGCATCTGTTGAAGTTTATCTTGTGTTTGAGAGTTTCATAAAGTAAATAAAGTTTACTAGCAAAAAATCTTTGTATGACATCTGCTATGCCTGATAAAAACCTCAGAGGTTTTCCTATAAATTTGCTAGCTGATTGTAACTGAAGAGGCCCAAATTACCATCAAGCCAGAATGCCTAAATTTTTACTGTGATGACTTTTCTGTTTGTTTTTTTTTTTCCCTTCCAACAGGAACAGGAAATACAGTGGTGATAATGGTTGGCTATCCAAAAGGAATAGAGATATTGGAGCCAGTACGAAGAGGGATTCCAGTAAAAATGACTATAGGTGTTGGCACACGACATGTGCAGGAATATATTAGTGGTCAGTCGGTTGTGTTTGTAGCCATCGCCTTCATCACCATGATGATTATATCACTCGCTTGGCTCATATTTTACTATATACAACGTTTCCTATATACAGGATCACAGTTTGGAAACCAGGTAATTGGAGTTGATAACGCTTCAGAGGTTTACTGTCTTCTTATGTCAAATCTGTTGTCTAACTTTGCTTATTTATTGAAACATCCTTGAAGATCTGTGCTTTTTTGCTCCTTTAGTATCTGTGAATGCCACTCAGTGGTTAGTGAGGCTAATAAGCAGTGTGCTAATTGACATTGGGAGTTTGGCTCATTACAATTATTAGACACTTGTAAATACTTGGAAATATATTTAGCCACTTGTCAACAACTGAGTAAAGGTAGCTTCTTGTGTCATTTGTCACCTAGCTTAGCTTCCTTCCTTTGGACAGTAAAAATTATTTTCGTTCTTCAGTAATTTTCATGATGAAGGTACAAACTTCCCTAACTAGGCTCTTTAATGGTAGGAGGCCATGGTAAACTTTTTTCTTACTAAGACCCACAAGTAAAGGCTAGATAAAGCCTTATAGAAACTATTTTGATACTTGTAATCCTACCACTCCACTGTAGAGTACTGAATTGCAGCAGCATGTGTGGTGAGATTCAGTGCTCTTAAACTACATGGAGTACTGAGCGTGGTGGGACTACTGGGAAGATCAGGAAGGAGTAACTTTGCTCCATATTTGCCCTTTTCACATAATTTGATAGGTTAGAAAAGGTCAGCTTTACTTTCTCCCCCCTGGGGGTAGTACTTCATCATAGAATAATTTAGGTTGGATAGGACTTCTGGAGGCTATCTGGTTCAGACCCTTACACTCAAGAGAGCAACTTACATGGAGTTGTTGAGGCCCTAATCCAGCTGAGTTTTGAAAACACCTTAGGATGGCACTTCCTTGTGCTTTTCAACTCTTGCAAACAGGTTAGGTTCCTTCTATGGTCTTCTGCAATTCTACCATTGTTGCACTTGTTTCTTTGCAAGTAGTTCTCTTTCCAAAAAAAACCTTTTCCTCCCTTCTTTTCCTCCATCCATTTTTTTATTCTTCTCCTTAATCCTGAGTTTAGAACAAGAAAAAGTAATTTCAAATGACTGGTTGTCATGTGGACTTCCCCTGCCTTCTGCTTGAACATACAGATTCTAGCTTTGGGGAGGAAGGAATGGAATTTTTGTTTGCCTTCAGGACTCTAAGCTTTGGTTTAGACTTAAAGGACTCGGGGAAAATGCTTAATTCCTTCTTTCAGTAACTGAGGATAACACATGGGACTTCTGTATTGGTTAAACTTGGAGTCTCCTTGAAATGTTGGTTCCCTTGAGTCTCTCTTACTAGGCTTTAAGTTTTAAAACTTACATTCTGAGAATACTTTCAAGAAAACAAGATTTTTTTGAGAGGTGTTTACAGAGAAGGGGGGTGTGGTTTTGTGTTGTAATAGTTGTTTGAAGAAAGTTGCTTCTTCCTGTTGGCTTCAGGATAATTCCTGCTAAGGGAAGTTCACATGCTTTGTGAACATTATGCTTTATGGACAGTAACAGTTCTAAGCATTTTTTTTAAAATGAATGTGATGTTTCCCAGAAATATGTACCACAGATTCTTAATAAATTTTGCCATGAGGCTTGTCATGTAAATGCTGCTTAATTAAATGAAATTGCTTAGCATTATGAGGTTATTCCACTTTCTCACTTCTCCCTCCCAAAATGACCATTGGAAACAAAAGCTTACAAAACTTTGCCTAAAGTTTGAACATGTTGTGAAGATTTTGGTCAAGATATATCATTAGGAGTCCTAGAAGAATTTTGGAAACAAAATAACCCACTTTTCCAACCCAGATCTTATTTTGCTTGTCTTACTGACTCCAGTATAATTTAAACTTGGGAGTTTTAAAGCCATGCTTTAGAGAAGGCCAGTGCGTAGCTGCCAAGTGAAGGTGAAGATGGGTGTCTTAAGATTTATTATAACACCAGTTTAGCAATGAAACTTTGGAAGATCTCCTTGCTACTGAAGATAAAACTGGACTCTGCAAAAACCTCTGAGCTGACACAGAAGGTGGAATAGACTGCTGCTGATGATTGTCCATTTCTGAGAGAAATTTAACACCATAAAAAAAAAAATCCCAATTTTCAATACTGTAAGTTTGTAAAATGCTGTAAGTCATTGTAATTATCATTACAGAGAAAGGCTGCCATAATGGGGTTTTGTTATTCCTTTATGATATTTCATCAGTGAGGATTGCCTCTAGACAGATCAACATCTGTTAATTGGGAGTGTTTAGTTTCTCAATTCCTAGCAGCAGCTAGCACTTTGTCTTGGAATACAGTACTGCTTTCTTTTCTTGCTTCCGCTCAAAGCATAATTAGGACTGTTACTGTATAGAAGTCCAGTGCGGTATCTTATGTCTGTTAAGCCTTTCTTGTCATCTCCTTTGCATAATGTGTCCTTTCAGTGCAAAGCTTTGTATAATGTGTGAGACAGTGTCTGACTGAAGGGAAGTATTAATAGCTACAAGCAGTCTTTTGACCTGGTGGCCAGCTGTAGGCTGTCCAGCAGGATTCTACCTTCTCTTAAGCTGGTGCAAACTGTACCATGTGCTTGCGCATGGGCTTGACTAACTAGAAGGTCTGGTTATATGGCTCTTGTTTTGGCTCTGATTGCCTCCAAAGCCTACCTTAATTTCAATTTTGCTATGCTGGAAAGCCCTTAATGCAGGCAGTCATGATTTGAGGTCACATATCGGCTTGATCTGTATAGTTCTGCACCAGTTGAGTCCATTGTAAAAGCAGCATGCTTACCGATAATGCTTGCCGCTGTGCCCTGAGAATGCAAGACTTGCAGTTCTTCAACATCTGTGAACTGGAAATATTTTGTAAACAAAGTAGTTAGGCAGAGATTTTTTTAATTTTTTTTTTTTAGATGCGTTCAGAAGACTTAGTAATCCACATGGAAACTATTTAAAAGCTTTGAAATCTAACTCTTAAAACTAACTTGTGTACTTAAAATCTTTATTCAAGGGACATAGGAAAGAAACCAAGAAAGCAATCAGCCAGCTTCAGCTGCATACTGTGAAACGTGGAGAAAAGGTAATTCAGTGGCTCTGATTATTGCTGTATGATTTAAAAGCTGGTTTAATGTCTTTATAGAATTCTCATGACATAATTGGAGTATGACTTGCAATTTCAGGCTCATTTTATGGCCTTTGCTTAAAAGGCAGAATTAAAAATCAAGAGAGTCAAATTTGAATTACTTACGAAATGTAAGGCTGTTTTATTGCAAATAATATTTGGTTATACAAAATGTTACAGGAGACTATAGGGCTGATACAGTAAAGATGAGGAAATGAATCTTTTCAGCACTTGAAAACATCAACAAGTGGATTGCAAAATACTTCCCAGGACCTATTGATTGCACAGTTGTTACAGCTGATGTAATCTTTTTTTTTTCTTTTATTTCTTAAAAGAACAGCTATCATTTGACATGTGATACATTAAGGAGCTGTATAGACTTAAAGCATAAATACTAGAAAATTTCTTAGAAGTATATTTCTATGTGTTGAAATAAATCTGTTCTAAAAAATAAAAACAGATTTCAGAAAGTTAGCTTTGGTACCATATAGCCTAAACTTATGGCTGTATTAGAGTAACTGAAGTTGAAAAAGCCAAGATTTTGAAAGGAAATGTAATTCTAGTTAGAGTTTTCAGGCAGCTCTGATCCTAGATGCTGAATTAGCTTTTGAACTAGACTTTTGCCACTACATAGGCATTTTTTTCCCAAACCCTTGTCTTTAGTTAGTTTTTGCTTAAAGATGGTTTTAATTAAGGACTGATTTGCTCAGATGAAAAACAAGGATTATATTTATTTATTTTAATTTCATGAATAAAATTGAATTGAGAAAGGGCACTTTAACTGTAAGAACTTGAAAAGCTGTGGTTGAACAGAAGCTGCTCAGCTCAAGTCACATGTTGCAGAGAGTATGTCCTTCATTCAGCAAACTGTCTTTGAACTTGCCTTTTTGCCTCTTATGCATTCAGCATGTTTAGCACTTTACAAGTATTTGTTACTTTTAGTTATAGTCTAAATTCCATCAAAAAGTAGTCTATTTCAAGCTGTTCACAGAGGCATATTCATACTTCTGTTCGTACAATGGTGAGATCAGAGACCAAGAAAGATGGAGTTGAATCAAAAGTTGTGTAAAGCAGTATCAAAACATAACATCAGTGTAGGAGGAAATGGATGTAATGTAGGAGGAAATGGATGTAATGTAGGAAGAAATGGATGTAAAAGGGCCATGATGAACCCTGTGGTGAGAACCTCATGGAGGATGTTAACTGCTTTTAAGCTGCTGTTCGGTAAACCTCTAAAAAGGATTTGTATTACAAGAGTTTTTTGCAGTGTACCAGGTAGTTCCTTCCCATTGATACACCCTTAACTAAACGGGGGAATTTCAGCTGTTATACAGTATGCTGGTTGTAGCTATGAATGCATGTTAAATAATACTAATATAGTTCTGCTTGGTAAATCGTGTCTTCTAATTTGATTTGACTCTGCCTACTTTCAGCAAATTTATGTAACTTAGTGATGCAGAGGTACTTTCATTAACTAATGTAGATTTATCAGGAAGTAAGTCCTGTCTACTTTGTAAATGTACATTTCTTTAAATATTTCCTTTCAGCCATTTAAAAGAGTGTATTTCTTTGATTGTGACCCAGTGCAGTCTTTCATTATCACTTCATTTGGGATTGAGGTATTTAACTAAAAAATAGGTCAATATTTTAAAAGTGTGTTTGCTGTCAAGTAGATCTTTCCTGAGAAGCTTATGTGATTATTGTAAAATGGACACTCATTTGAGTATGTGGTACATATGGTGTGCTTGGATTTTGCTTCTTGTACAGAATAAAAACCAGTATTTGTTACAGAACAAGTACTTGTCTTAACTTCGCTTGTGTTAAAAAAAAAAAGAAAATCTTAATTTGATTTACTTGGGAATTTAAGATGTTAATTATGTAAATTGATAGCATTCAAAGGAGGGGAAAATTTGCCTTGAACTTGAAAGGTTGCTTGCAGTACTAATTCATTTGAGCGTTTGTAGTAATCAAAGTGAAGTGCTTCAGTAAGCAGTAAACAAAAAGTACTTATTTTGTGGGGGATGAAAGGGAAGAAGTTTGCCTTCTGTCTGTTCTTTTAATACTTAAGTTCTATACAACCCGAAGGCTTGCATCTGGAAATATCCATCATATTTGCACTGCAACTATAAGCATGTCTTCAAGATGACAGCAGGACCTGTTAGGAAAGATATTTAACCCTTAGTAAGAAACAAATTGAGGTGGGGAAATATGGCATTTTGATTGTCTCTCTGATGTGCACTTGGAGAGAAGCTTTAAACCACCCCAAATTGCATACTTTGTTCTCTTTAGCTAGCATGTGGTAGAAAAAAATGGAAGTGGGGAAGGGGTTTGCAGTATTTACCTGAAGAATATCTTTCTACTTAAGCACTTGGAAGCCTTTGGGACCATCAGTTAAGAATTCAGGTTGTGCACTTTCTTCTGTACTGGCCTCTTAAAATGTCTTCATTTTATAGTTATTTTAAACTGAAATTTTACTGGGCTCCTATAAGCAAAGCCACTGTTCAAGGCTTAACAAATTACTTAAAGTACCCTATACAGCTATTTAAATTAGAAAATCTGTTTGGTTGCTTTTGGTATTTGGTATCACTTGATCAAATCACCTCTTGATTGAATCTTGAATTAAGTGAGGGAGATAATTTAATTTGCCAAACCATTTTATGCATTTTACATTATGCGAAGCTAGCTATTGCACAAAGCTTGTTATGTAATGAAATATGGATGTAATGCATTTAAATGTGTTGTCATATTTAGGGTTTAGATGTTGATGTGGAAAACTGTGCTGTGTGCATTGAGAACTATAAACTGAAAGACACTGTCCGAATTCTGCCTTGCAAGTAAGTTGTCATACCTATTCTTTCACCTTTAGCATGTTTTCCTTAAATATGTGATGAGCTTTCTGCAAACACTTAGGAAACTCTGGTGTCAGAGCTGAAGCTGTGCCATCTGTATGGCCTGTACATGTTTGAAGGGCACTCGGGAGACCATGTAGCACTTCATGTTTATGCAGGGAAAAAGCAATTAGAAGTGTAGGGGTGAATTAGAACTTTCTTAGGGTAGAGCTGTACACTGTTGAACTGGTAACTCTGTGATGTCCTTGTGGTTAGTATCTCTTATTTCAGAAAGCTAGCATGGAAGAAGATGCTTCCAAAGCCATGCCTGTGCTAGGAAATTAAGCCGTGACTAATTGTCAGTGTTCTAAAGGAATGAGTTTCTTTTCTAATGTAGTGACTTGCACGTGGTTTGAAGGAATAGTATGTGCCTTTCATGGTAAGTTCTAAAGGGCATTTCTTTTCTTTAGGCACATCTTCCATAGAACATGCATTGATCCTTGGCTTTTGGACCACCGAACTTGTCCAATGTGCAAATTAGATGTTATCAAAGCTCTGGGATACTGGGTATGTTGCACACTTACTTTAATCTTCTTGTAGAAGTACAGTGCAGGAGGCAAGACTTCATGTAACTGTTAAGAGTGAGAACAGTTGTTACTTGATAAGACTGAAGAAGTTGGGCAAATATGCAAGAATAAGAGAAAAACAGAAAAATAAGGGGAATAGGTAAGAGCTTAAACAGTGTATCAAGCAGCTTTTGAATCCTCTGTCTACTCTTCTGTGATAACGAATTTTTTCTGTCTCCAGCTGATGGTAGTAAGGAAGTTGAAGCAAAGGTGAGGCAATTAGCCCAAACTGTGAAAATACAACTTAATTCAATAGATCTAGAGCATATATTTGATCTTGAGAACTGCGATTCAAAGGAAGAAAGTAAGTTTTTCTATCTTGAGTGTTTGTGTACTTCAGCATACAACCAGAGTGTTACCCCCATAAGTGAGCCAGTACTTACAGCCTTGCTAAAGACATTCACGAGACACTGGTTAAGTAGAGAAAATGATGTGCTCTCATTTCTTTGTGACAGCACCAGAAAAGAGAGATGAAGACACATGCTGTAGGTTACTCAGTCGCTGTTGATAAATGGTCTTGAGTTGCACTAAAATGCTACAAGCATGAATCTCTCTCTCTTCTGCTCATCTACAGAGATCTTTAGAAAACAGGGGTGTTCGTGGTTTCAGGGGCCTTCCATGTATAGACTAGGTCTGTGTTTTGACTAGCTTTTCTCTTCATTGCAGAGACTTAGCAGATCTATGGAAGACATATGAATTACTTTTTTCTCGAAGGTGACAATACTTGTGCTATGTAATATGCATATATATATATATATATATACCAGATTGTGGCACTTCTGTGTGTTGAGTCATACTATACCTAAGAGTTGCAATCTCTTTGGCATGTGAAATAGCTATTATTACTTCAATATTGTTATGTTAGCAGCTTATTTTTTGCTCACTTTGAATTCTTGGATTGATGTCACTTGCGTTACATGCAAAAGGATATATCCATTTGTATACCTGCTGGAAGCTGAAATACTAGAACCTTCAGAACAATTTTATTCCCTGAATTCATGCTGTGGCAGCGGATACTGATGTCAGACCTCACTGGGAGGAGTAATACTTCCTCTGCTTGTAAGGCAGAATGAATTTTGGAAAGCAGGTTAAGTGGGATTACATTAAATACAGAAGCCTAGTCCTTTTTTCTAATGGAATATGGGAAGCGTGTCCTGCTTATGCCTCAATCATTCGTGTTCCACTGAAGCTAATGTGGGAAATAGTTCAGGATTTTTTTTCCTAGCTTAGCTTTCACCCTGATCGAGGTTGCCCAATCTAGTTTGTAGAGTGATTGTGTGAATTTTTTACTGATGTGAAGGGGAGAAAAGTGAGAAGAGCAAGGCAGCTTGTCAGCAGTGTGCTCGCTGAGTGACATAACTGCAGACAAGAATGTGCAGCCTTAGAGAAATCTGCTAAACCTTCTGCAAAGAGGCTGAAGGTTCTGTTCAGTTTTATGGAGAAAAATACTTCAGCTGCTTCAAAAATCTTAAAGGCTTAAAGTAGAAAGAATGCACGAAGTCCTGTTAACATGGCTTTTGTTTTGTAAAGACGGACATCAGTGATCTAGTTCTGCATTATGCTATTTCTTATGAGAAAAGAACTGCAGTTCAGCATGTCTGAGTGGTTTGGTAGAGTGCTGCTGAATCCTGTAGTTTCAGTGCTTACTTAAATGCCTAAGTTTTGGAAACTAAAATTATTAATGCCCCCTGCCCACATATAGAGATTAGAAATTCACGTGTGTCTTAACTTATGTTCAATTGTAGCAGTTTTATAGCTTATTAAAATTCAGTACATCTTAAAATGCGCTGCTTTGGTGCTAAAGAAAGAACCAGCCTAGAATTTCTTAAATCTTAAGATGGGCCTTTGTTAATTGTTTGAGGAGGGGAAAAAATCCTCATTATGAAGCCCACAGAATAGCTACTTGTACTGCAGTGTACTTCCTTGGGTATAATGTTTGTGTATCAATGGCAATGGCTTAGTGAAGGTGGTCTGTTTAATTTTGGGAAAAGAATTGTGCATGTAGACCATTGAATTAACTTTCAGAATGGATCAGAAATAGCTCATGCTATACAATAGGTGAAATAAATTAATTTGGCTGTGCTGCAGATGTTTTGTTCCTGCAGTGAGAAGCCAGCATATTTGCATTTTTGGAACAGAGTCAAAGTTAGGCTGGAGGTAAGGAGGAGGGAAGTTTGTTCTGATGTCAAATGTTTGCTCAATCCAGTAAAAAAAACCAAAAAGCAGTCCAGGTTTGCTCAACTACAGTAATGAAAAACAGAGGCTCATAAGGGATCAGCAGGTTTACTCAGGGAAGACTTCATATGTGCTGAGCCTGCTTCTGCCCAGACTGCAGCAGAGTGTTGCTAGAGTGTTGAAATATTCCATGCAATGGGCCGGCTGGATTGACGACTCCTGTTGCTGCTCTTGGCTTTGGGGTGATTTTGGAAAAGTGGCTTTTCTTTTGCTCAGCTTCATTTCTTTGTAGTCAGACAATAACAATGAAAGTAGAAACTATTCCATGCTATACCCAGAGCATGTAGATCTTTTTTTCCAATAAGGTGAGGCTGCAAAGTGGCGATGTGGAGGAATGTTGATGCCTACTGGTAGACAAAAATGTCAGTTAAATATATTTAATTTTGAAGGGGGACCCTGAAGATGTACTTGAAGTTCCGATACCTGAATCGATAAGTGGCAGTGTTTCAGTTGGAAGTCTGAGTATTGCTTTACAAGATGATGACAGAAATGAAGTAAGCGAATTGTCAGCTTCCTCCACTAATGAATCTGTATTGCAGTGCACCAGTTTAAAAGAGGATGCAGGTGAAACTACAGCATTACTTGGTAAGTAATAATTTAGTTTATCACTTGACAATCCTTAATGCCGTTCACTGCATTAGAAGAAGCCACTTTCTATCTGATGTTAATAGTGTTAGTACTGCAGTGCAGACCAGACTGGGTGATGTTACTACTGATCAAAAAGTACAAGCAGGTAGATTTTGAGAAAATTCTATTGAGCTGGAGAAAACTGGTCTTTAGAGGGTGAGGAGGGGGAGAGATGTAAACGGTGTCATAGGAGGATTACTTACCCAGAGACTCTTGAGAACCTTAGATATCTATGAGTATGAAATTCGTTGCCAGAGTTTAGATTAGTGTAACAGATAAAACATATTAAAATGGCAAATCAACAAACAATTTTTCTTCTAATTCCTGACTTTTAGATGTGGATGTCAGTAATAACCGGCATGGAGAACATCTATCTAATGGAAATTCCCACTGAACTGCTTTGTGGAAGAAACCTTGAATAGACTGTTGAAGAACTATTATTTTTTATTTTAATAGTATGGACTTTTGTCTAGTTAATGGAAAAAATAACAATGTAAATTATTTTACCTTTCAAACTTTTCTAGCTGGTGTTCCAAAAGGGCTAATAACTAAGAATTTTGTACGTAGGAGGATTTTATAAAATCTCCTCTGGATGTCTCATCCTAAAAAGAGATGCAATAACCCTTTTTCTGTAAGCATTGTTACAATGTCATTGTGTTCCAGAGGGCTGAAACAAAGATGAAGACTAGGCAGTGAAAACAATATAGAACGTTTAACTGGTAAATATTTTGGATGCACTATTTACATTCAGTCTGTACACGTGGAGAACACTTACAAGACTACAACCATTAAAATGTTCTGAAAGTTCTGATCTGTTGTAATCGGAGATGAATATTCTTAGAAAAGACATAATACGACCTTGAAGGAATCAAATAACTTCATGGATATGTTGCATATCCTTTTTTGTAATGAAAAATTTGCTAGCTGCAACTTTCCGTACATGTAACAAATACCAAGTTGATCTTGTAATGTGTTCTACTGTGAGTGGATGCTGAGAGCAAAGGAGACTTTCTCCACCTTGTTAGCTTTTTATACTGAAAATGGCAGTAATAGGTTGTGCTAGGTGGTCTTCACGTGCTGAGCATGTAGACTTATTTAGGTATATGCACACTGGTTACCTCTTTCAATCTTAAACTCAGTAGAACAGAGGTAAAGGGCTAATTATGGCTAAAATATATTTATTAGTCTATTTATAAGAATTTACTTAATTCCTTCTTATTCTTGTTCCCATCCTGTCCCACTTTGTTATGTACCAATTGAAACTGTTTCTTAGGATCTACGAAGTTTGGTTTTGTTTTTTCCTTGTTTTCTTTTCCTTTGCGTAAGGATACTGGAATTCTTCTCTTGGGTATTCCACATTAGGAGTTTTGACTGGGTTTGCCATTAGCTTTTATTCCTTTCTTTTAGATTAGCAGTATTGTGCCTTATAGTAAAACACTTAGGAAACCTGAAGCATCTGAGAGTAAATATAAACCCTGGCATCTCCCACTATGACCTCTTATTCAAATATTTATATACTGTAAGTGGTATAAGGAATTGCTAAGCTGTTTTGTAAAGAAACATGTATATTTAAAACACTACTTAGTAAGTGTTAAGTGAATTGTTTAGGATTTTAGCATTGTCATGTTATAAATAATATGCTACATTCCTCAATTTTCTTTTGTAATGCTGTTACTACAGATTGCTTAAAATGATGTCTTTTACTAGACATTTGGTTTAGAGTGCATTTTGTTTTTAAAATGTATATTTGGAATGTTTTTAAGAAAATATGCAATTCTTTTTCTAACTTATATTGAGCTTCAATAGAAGCAATAACTTTTTTAATTTTAGAATGAATGTTCCAGAAATGTCAGAGGTTTCAGCTGGGGAAATATAATCTGAACTTCTACTTTGCAGAGCAGATGTTTCATCCTAAATTTCCTTCCAAAAATTCCTATTAATGCCTGTTTTAAAGAAAGATAAATCTGCCTCTTCCCTGTAGGAGTGTAACTTTTAGGTTTACCAGAAAATTGTCAGGTTGTAGTTCTGATGTCACCAGCAGGTGCAAGTTTTTGTGATGCCTTTATCTTACAAGAAGCACATGAGAATGGAATATGACTGACCAGCCATCTCCAAAACTGAACAAACAAACAACCCACAACTAAACCAAACAATGTATAGGGACACGTATGTCTCCAAAAGAAGCTTACCAACATTTCCAGAACTGCCTTTTTAACTGTCTCTTCAATATTAAGAAACTAAGTCTTCTCCCTCTTCGTTAACACAAAACTGAACATTGACGTAGTAAATGTTGAGAGGGTTTAAACTCTAGCTCAAGGAGGAACCAAAAGGCGTTACCAAGAGAAGTCTTGTCAGTCTGTGGATTGTGTCTTGCTGATACCTGCAGCACAGTTATTCATGCTGGAGAGGAGAAATGTGGTAAGTACTTCAACTTTTACGTAATACCTATAAAACCAACAGCTTTTCTTACGAATCAAAGCTGGGATCTGTCAGAAAGCTGGAAGAAGAGCTGAAGAACCTGCAAACCAAAAAGTGTGTGTACGAAATGTGAAGTGTCCTGACAGAAAAATACCTGAATAGGAAGATTCACAGGGTTTGTTTCTAATGGTGGTGCTCTACCTGTTTTATTTCAACCTGCACAAGAGTAGATACAGTTGTTTCAGTCACATTGGTTTGTGCATAGTTCATCTTTGCTATAGTTGGATCTCACAAGGTCAGCTGAGGAATGATGACAATAAAAGGCCGAATTGCAGTGCCTCCAGCAAGCAGTTTGCTCTCCTTGGAAGCACGATGACAAAAGTCTTCCGAAGCGAATCATTAGTCTGACCTCATTCAAAAAGCTGACATGCGTTAGCAAAAAGAATGGTAGGACAAAAAGTACAGGACAAGAAAAAGACCATCTAGGGAGCTTGAAACAGCAGCAGGAGAGGATTAAAACCATGAAGCTTGTGACCTACTGGTACAGCTCATCTAATATGTAACTTCAGAGTAAACAGGTGTAGGCAGCTCTTAGGTAAATACAGGTTCCCAGACTTTGTTGGTCTGGACCTACTATGTTGGATCAAACTGGTATTTCTAGTTTCTTGCACTTCACCAACTGAAAGCTTATATGAAGGCCATAACTAATGAGTCTTTATTTTCCCCTGCTATCAATGTTTTTGCAGGGTAGGTACTTTGTGACTCCCTTCCCTATCCTTTGGAGAATCTTTAATCTGCCTCTTCTGCTTAGCCTGTGTCCTGCTTCATGTGGGAGTTGATGCTGTGTGCATTCCAGGTTCCTTCTGTGTTGTCTACCCTCCCCACAATACACCCTCCCTCCCCCCATGCCCTGATCTGTTTTCTTTTCATAAAACATGCAGGGACTTGTCTCAGAGACCTCTGTCCCTTTGTCAGATTTTGCTGTAATCGGGCGGCGGGTTTCTCACTTAGAGGCATTCATATGGTATGATTATACAAACCTTAAAGTACAGTGCCCATGTGAAGTGGACAGCCCCTTGTGATGGTGAATAAGTCAGTTGGGGAATATCCCTAACAGGACTAGGGGATGTTACCGTTGTAGAGTAAGTTTTGTCAGTGTTGTGTTCACTGGTGTGGCTTTTGTTAGTTCTGATGTTTGCTTTTAGGGAAGTTCGAGTGATTTCTTAAAAAGGAGCAAAGAACATGTTAAAACAGTCAGGTGATTGAAGACTGGAGGCCCCTCTTTGTTCAGAAATTTTACTTTATTAGTAGTTGACAAATGCCAAATTGGAAAAGAAATTTGATAGTAAATAACTGTTTCAACTAGCAAGAAAAAATGAACTGTAGACATTTTCAGATGTAATGTAAATGCACATTACCTGTAGTGGCAGTTTAACTAGGAAATTAGAATTTTCTTTTCCTAATGACCACTAGATTGGATTCTTCTTTGGCTCTAAGCAATGCTTGGAGGAGATTCTGTGCATGTACTAGAGAAATTTTATTAGATAGCAGTAACTCCTTCCCCCTGCCCTTAGCACCCGCCCTACCCCCCAAAAGTATGTGAATGTAGCCCAGTAACCTGTTGCCAGTAATTAGTGCTAGATTCTGGAGGTATGCCAGAGGAGGATAACTTAACTACATTGAGAATGCTTTTAATCCATCCTGACTTTAATAAATTTGGCACCAGTATATTCCTGCCAAAGCTGGGCTGTTACACTTGGGGAATTCCGGTTCTGTGCCAGGGTGTAACTGGCACTGAGAAACACCATTGCAATGACTTTGTCAATCATGCAAAAACCTTTATTTTAATCACTTCTTGATTCAGGAATGGTCTTCCAGGTTTTCTGCCCAGCCTGCTAAGCTTTCCCTAAGACTAAGCAGTAGTAGTCTGGGCAGAGAGGAGCCCAGCAATCTATACTGATGGTTACCCCACTTCCTATGCCCTGTGGTGATCATAGGATCACAGAATGGTTTGGGTTGGGAGGGACCTTAAAGACCATTTGGTTCCAACCCCCTGCCATACCACTATTGGCTCCCACCCCCCGGCCATAGGCAGGGACACCTTCCACTAGACCAAGTTGCTCCAAGCCCGGTCCAACCTGGCCTTGAACACTGCCAGGGATGGGGCAGCCACAGCTTTTCTGGGCCAAGGATGTCAGAGGCAGTGTCTACACTTGCAGGTTGTGATGAGTTTGATCAGAGGCAAAAGGTGTTGGTATTACATTATGATGGCAACAGATAGGATGCAACAGGCTGGGCTGATTAATTTAGCTGCCCCATAAAAGCAGACTTGCCCTGCCTAGACACAGGTCTAGACATGCAACTACTGTTAGCAATGCCAGCTGTACTTGGAAGTATACACCGGTAGGTTGAGAATGGCTTTCTGAATTTGTGGAGCATTTCTCAGTTGTTGCTACAGTTTGTGATAAAAGCATGTTTCTGTTACACCTTGACATCCCAAGTGTTAGTAAAACTGGGAACTCTTCCTCAACAGAGCCTTTAGCACCCTGAATCAAGACAATAATGATGATATTGTGGCAATGGTTAGGTAGGTTGTGGGGGCCTTTGCTTTTCAGGTGGTTTTTCTTCTTTTTTCTTGGTGGGTTTTTATGTGGAGAGGCTCTGTGAGTGTATATAGCTTTCGTTGGTTAGATTCTAAGCACTTGGCACTGAACACTGGTTTTGTGCTGGACAAAGATACTGAGATCAATAAAAATGTACTGACGCAGCAGCTCTACAAAGAGGCAGAACTGAAGCCTAGTAGAGGAGTCAGCTGCTGGTATCTCATCAGCCTAATCTGGAGGGAATGGAGTTCTTGGTGTGGGCTGCTGGGTGAATCAAATGTGTTGGCAGCTTGACAAGGGACTGTTGTGTTTTATATGTCTCCCTTCAGCCACCAGGCTGGGTGAGACTTTGCACAGTGGCTTGGACTGATTTAATAGCTTGCTGTTACAAGAAGAGAGAGACTAGTTCTTTTTGGTTTTTCTTTTCTGCTCTATTTACTTTGCTCTGTCTCACATTCAGTTTAAGAGTGTGAGATGAGCTAATTCAGCTTAAGTGACAGAAAGCTGAATCTGTTAAAGCTGTATTTTGACAAGCTAGGAAACTGAGTATCCTTACTGGGCAATTCACTGAGTTTGAGAGCTGGGCTAAGGGGATGGGGAGCTGGGGTGAAGGAGGGAAGAGTGAGATTCTCCCCTTGAGCAAGTTGAAGAGATGCAGTTTTATAGTAGGACCATGGTGAATTATGGTTTCTAACATGGAAGATGGCAGTGTTTTTATTTTCGAGCCAGCATGGCTGTGAAAATTGTAACAAGATTTCCGTCCTGGAGACTGATCTTTTACTAGATGTGTTCTTTTCTCTCATAGGTGATGTGTGAAGATTTGGGAATTGGAATTGTAGATTAAACATGCACAAGTCAAGCTGAAGACTTTTGGGTTTTGTTCAGTGTGGGTCCTGATCTCTCTCCTCAGATATCCTGCTGTATTGCAAAACTTGATTTGAGAAAGTTTTTAAAACTAGAATGTCTCTATAATTGCATGTGTTTGTGTGAAGAATACATTGCCTGGAAACTGTCCATTATACTTCCATTGGATCTGAAGCTACTTTTCACCATTTGAAACATGGTAATGATACTGCATTTTTAAATGGCATATCCTTCTTAATTCAGAAGAGCAAAATAATTTTGAGTTTACATCATTTTGTTAGTCTGAAGCTTAAGTCCAAAACTTTGAAGCCAGTTACTTCTATTATAAACATAACTGCAGAGGACCATTTGAACTTGCTAGTCTGTCAACAGCTATTCACAATCAACTGTCTTTTATGGTAACCTTGTAGTTAACTTGGTTGCATTGTTTGGATTAAGCACTGGGCTATGTCTTTTCCATTGTGTATGTACAACTGTAAGAATGTCAAGTTATGCATTGTTGTAATTTAATGGCTAAAAGCTCAAATTCCATAATAAATTATACAGACCTTTTAAAAAGCAATGTCTGAGAATCTTGAGGGTTTTGTTTTCTTTGCTGTACTTATGTAAATGGATCTAAGAGACTCAGCATTAACTTCATACTGGGCAGTCTGGGGGAGATCCTTTGTATGTTGAGGAGTTCTTGCCATGTCACCGGTACCTGGGGGTGGTAGGTTAACCATAGCTTGCTGCTTGATGCTCACCCAACTGTTCTTCCCCTGTCCTCTTGAAGATGGGGAATACAAGATGAAAAAGCTCGCAGTTTTGGACACAAAAACCAGACTTGAAGATTATTTTTAAATGGCAATAAACTAGGTTTAGAGTAGGACAGAAAAAACAAAGAACTAAACCAACCCTCCTTCTTAAGCTCAGCTTCATTCTTCTACCTCTCCCTTCTGAGTGGTGGCAGTGCTGTTCCTTCCTCGCCCCTTTTTTCCTGCTCCATCATGAGCTTCCCTCCCAGGGCTGTGCAGTTCTTGAACTGCTCCAATGTGGCCCCTCGCTGTAGGGTGCAGATTGCTCCAGTGTTATCACAGAAGTGCTGGCAGAGGGGCTTACCTGTGCTTGCTTGGTCTCTGGCACAGGGCAGCCCTGGCCTCTCCTCACAAAGGCCTTCCTGCTGCCCTCCCTTGCTACATAAGCCTAATACACATTTGGGAAAGCATAGCTTACCTTTTGTACTAACAAGCAAGCACTGCTGAAACATACTGCAACCTCAGTAACAAGTTTGAATGTTGAAAAGCACCTATGATAAAATCATAAAACTTTGATTTTTGTTTTTTATAGGTACAGGACAAATCCAGGGACTGGGGATTTATGTCAGTACAACTCAAATACTGTGAAGGGCACAACAGCCAGGCTTTTGCTATAGTATCATAGTAGCAACCTGTGTATGGTTTGGTTTGGGTGTTTTTTGACAAGACTTAAATTCTTCTAAATTAATTCAGTAAATCATAAGGTAGAGTGCAATGTCTTGAACCAGCTGTGATTAGTTTCCTGATGGAGCCCATTACTTTGTTGTAAGCTGCAGTACTAAGGTCCAAACAAAAGCCTAAAATCCATGAGGTGTTTTCTTAACCATGCTTTTGAAAAGGGGGTATTAGCTACATAGAAAACAGTCAAATTGTACTTCAACTTAGATGTAAAGCATTAAGGTATAAGTTTATCCTGTTTCTAGAAGGTCCTGTACAGTAAAGAAAGGGCAAAGGGGAACTAAAGTTACTTACCTTGATGCAAGCTGACTTCAGATATTCCTGGTTTTGGACACAAAGACAGCAAGTGCCAGATAAAATACTTCAACTTGCTGTGAAATGGCAAGTATCATTTACGTTCTCTCTGGAATTGGAGCCTGTAGTTCAGGCTATGCATATGACACAACAGTTTAACCCATAATCAAAAATAATGTAAGTAAGGCCTAACATGTTTCACAAACTTCAAGCATGTATATCAGAAAAAGCATTATTTATTGCTTAAATGCATAAAACACTATTTATAATGTATCACATCATTAATCCAGTGATTTAAGGTTTAAATATACAACTGATTGGTATAGAACACTGGGAGGGGTTTTTTTTTTTGCCAGTGACCCAGCGGTTTTATTTTGATGTCTTTGTCTCTGAGGGATTTTCCCCTGTATCTAGTGTCTTCAGCAATCGGAAGATGCCAGCTGCTTCTCGTATCCGACTGAACTCGATGCAGAATGCTTGCACTTCTATGAACAAGTCCTGTACATTAATAATTTTATTTCTGATTAAAGACTGAAGAAACACACAAACCAGACGTACCAGGCGGTTCTGAAACAGGAGAGAGACGGTCTCATAAGCCAAATAAATGTTAGCAACCAAGTCGGTTAAAGGACTCTTGGCCCTCAACAGTGCAAGTGAGGCATTTCAGGAGCAATTTAGCTTCAGC